TGAATGTCATAAACATAATTCAGCATCGAACATCAGCATTAATTCAGCATCGAACAATACTAGTTCTGCAAGTGTTATGTTAGTTGTGTAATTGTACACTCTGTAATATGTTAAGATGAAAATGTTCTAGAGTGTGTATTATACTCTAGAACATTTTCATCTTAACATATTACAGAGTGTACAATTACACAACTAACACATATATATAAAAATATATACATATATATATAAAATACATACCATCCCCATCACTTCCAGACGGTCGCCATGTTGGACATCAAGGAAAATTCTGCCGGTACTGCGATAGGCATTAAGTTCCGGTTATAATAGAGGAATTTTATCCGAGGGGGAACAGATTTCACGGGGGAACCGAAATCACTGTGACAGCGGCAGAGCCAAACGAACTTGAAAGAGAAAATCAAGACGATAAGACAATTCGACGAACAAGTAATCGACATAATCAGCGCATCGAAAGAGGAAAACATCGATGAACTTGTAACGCAAGAAATTGAAGAATCGGGAAAGCTGGAAAGAGTATTTAGTCGAGCTCGATGATGAATTATGTAAATTGGACAGAGCACGCCATTGTCAATGTCGACAACGCAGAACGCCGCGGGTGCAAGCCTTAATCAAAGTCATTTGTCAACCTCCAGCGATATGTCGTCAGTCGGTAAAATCGCCGTGCCACCTTGAATAATTAAACGAGGATAAGAGTTAATGAAAGTTGGTAGTCACGCATATATTATTGCAGGAGACATTTCAAGCCGAATCAAGTTCCCGTGACTGCACTCTCATCCGGGATTTAAGCCCTGGTTAAAATAGGAAATATTGTTGCAGAGAGAGACGGATTTTCATATTTTCGTCCGGGGGGGGGGTGGATAAATATCTGGAGGGTGCTGCTGCTCGCTTTGGCCGGGGCGTGGTGGCAACGCCCGGAAAGGCCAAGGAAAAAGTTTAACAAAATTTGTTTTCTAGGCCTGCATGGCGAGATCTGAGACCATAATATTGGTAATTTTACAAATTTAGTAGTAAGAATAATCAAATATGAAACTCATATCAAATCAAAATATATGTAATTTGCGGGGGTGCCAAATGCCTTTGGGAGGGGGTGCAAATCATTTCTGGGGGGGGGGGGGGGGGGTGCGCACCCCCAGAAAATCCGTACCATTTGCAGAAACATTTGTGATTCTTAATGTTTCCTCAAATGTTTCCCTGTTTCCCACCCATGGAAACATTGTTGCGGAAACAAAATTTGCTTCCCGGAAAGCAAAAGTGGAAATTACCAAATTCAGAAACATTTGATATTTCCAAAGTGTAATTTTTGTTGCGGAAACATTGTTTCCCTGTTTGCCCATATGTTTCCAGTGCGAAAACATTTTTTCCAGATAAGAGCATGCGCAAAAACAAAAAAATGGCTGAAAGTACGGAAATCACAGCAGTTGTTGCAGACGAAAAAAGCAATAAAAAAGGTCAAAAGCGAGCGAGTGTGGAAAGATACCAAAACAGAGAAGCTGACAAGTTTGTATGAAGCAAGAAACTGTTTGTGGGATGTCGGTAATGTAAAATACTCAAACAGACGAAAACGAAAAGGCTTATTCTGAGATTGACAGCGAGTTGAAGTAATTTGGCATCGACAGAGAAGAAGGACTAATTTACCCTGAGCACTAATGTTTCTCACTAATGTTTCCTAGTGTTTGCCCACTCTGCAGGGAAACATTGGCAGGAAACAATGTTTTCGCAACAATGTTTCCTAGTTTGCCCAGGGCTTTAGCTAGCAGGACGGCGACGACTATTAATCAGTGAAATGAATGTAACTGGAACGCTTTATTTAATTAAATTTGCTTTACAAAAACACAAAGTATCTATAAAAATTATTTTCGATCTTCAACAATCTATGACATTCCAGTATAACATTAACAATCTGAATCTCACATCCCTTTGGCATGTCAGTACAATTTACAACTTTTTTATAACTATATATTAGGTACCGCGGCTACAGCGTTTAAGCACGCATGCGCAATCAAACGTTTCTGCATTAGCTTATAAAATAACTTTTCTACGTCCCTTCATATTTCATCAAAGAATGGTTTTTGGCACAAACAAAGCGAGGGCCAGATAGCGCTATCCACCAGGGGCCGGTTGTATCAAGAATAACATTGGCTTATCAGGCTCTCGTGAATCAGTGAACTTAAATATTATGTAGGAATATGTAGTTGTAAACATTATCGTTCTATTAAATCTCTTTCTATTTTGAGCTTAACCACCGTTTAAAGGGGCAGTGTCACGGCGTTGATTGGCTAAAATAAACGGCCCAAAGAAACGTTTAAAATTATTGCTACATGGTTGGAAAAAATGCAGCAGCCTTCAATTTTTAAAACAAAGCAAAGGATGTCCTACATAACGAAGGGATTATAAATAGTTTTCGTATTTCACTCCAAACTTGATTAATTGTTGGCAGACAGTTTTTCAAGTTCGCGCAAATTTTGGATGCTAAACGGGCTTGATACAACCGGCTCCAGATCTGACTTGTACCCATGCAGTCGGCAAAGCTATAAGTTATATATACAATATGATTATAGATCATTGGACTGAGGAATGTGATGTGTGATGGATCCTTGATCATTCCCATTATGATCGTGTACCATTATTTTTTTAACCTCATTAATCCGGGTACGAGTCAGCCACTAGATACTGAGTGATTTTTTCATGCTTCCTAAATGCTGATTAAAGTGATTATTGTGGTATCCATATCCCCAGAGCTCGAGTTGCACATATTTTTAATGCATAGTTTTCAAACTATTTACCCAATGAAGAGCGCTATCTGGCAATCGCACAACCGACCGCAGAACGCGTTTGCATGATTTGGCATTGGTCGTCGTGTTTAGTCATCCGAGCCTGCATGTAATGGTTTGCATTAACTTGATTGGCTTCGTCGCTGCGACCAATGCGTTGAAATATATAGTTCAGTAGACATAGGACAATTTCTCCCACTACGATAAGTGGCTTGGGATGGTATGAAATTTACTGGTTCTGTGCATGGTTGTACTTTTGTTGAGTTCAGTGACCAAAAAGGTAGTAGACTACACACCATGCAGTTAAAATGTAAGCTAAATGTAGGGATATCATCTGATTTCGCTACTACAGAGGCAACAATACTGTAGGTCATCAGCTTTGGATTGCTAAGGATGCAACTACCTGACTGAGAATACAGGGAGGACTTCAACGTCTCGAGCGAAGGCCCTTCGAACATTCTTATTATTGGCGCTACCTGCCAAGCTACCTTCACGGGCACAGATCGTTCAAGGCTACAATATGTGGTGTTATTAGAGCAAGAAAATAATCCTAATTCTTTTCATTACATATACTAGGCATGTATTTGAGCCAACTATTGAAAAATAGAATTGAGCTGAGTTAAATCAGTTTCTTGCTCCAATGAGTATCAATATTCTCAAGTTGACCACTATGATCTTTCGGCTGTCCTACAACGCTTACTAAAATCATGAATACTTGTATCGATCAGAGTTCTTGATTCGTTCCACCCAACGGCAACGTGCAATCCTTGCAGCTCTCGTTGTTTTGTGCTCCAGGCCTGTTGACTAGTTCGCTCGTTTCTTCCCGCACTGGATTTATGTTATTTGTGAAGCGGTAACACCAAGCTGGCCATTCGCGTCCTGCGTGATTACGATTACCATAGAACTGGTGAAGTATGTGAAGAAATTTTCTTTCATTAATCTCTAAGAGATTGTAGTTCCCTAAAAATATAAAAAGTTAATTGTAAAATTTGACATTGACATTGTATTAGCAACACAAACCTGAATCATGTGAACAAAGCTCATGCCCTAGCATTAGACAAATTTGGCTAACGTTTCTTTATACCCAACTCGTAACTTTAGATAACTCGCAAGACCGTACGCAGGATTTTTTCACCAGGGTGGCAGTAAGGCCTATGAATTAATTATTGTGTATTCTGCTTCTGTTGCAATTGCTAGGCTTTCTATGTAGTTCTTCTTGTCTGCCCTGATGATTTTCTTGGCTTGTCTGTTGGTCTCAGCTCTCGTACGGCTTTTGTTGACATTCGCCTTCTTTGCTTCCCTTTCTCGGATCGTGTGCAAGGTCTCACAGAAATCCATTTCGTGTGTTGTATCTTCTTATTCCCCAGTACTTCTTCACAGGTTGATGTCACAGCTTCCTTGATCTTCTGCCACTTGCTATATATGGTCTCTTCTTGTTCCATCAGTTATTGCAAGACTTGGAACTTGTTGTTTAGTCTGACTGTGTATTCCTATGGCCTCTTTCTTGTCTCCTTCAACAATCCTGTGTCAAACTTCCTTCGGTGTATCTGCTCTCCAGTCCGATTCTTCCTCAGCTTCAACTTCAGAATTCCTACTACAAGGTGATGGTCTGATGCTACATCAGCTCCTCTCTTGACTCGCACATCTTGGAGGGATCTCTGGAACTAATTCTTGTTGATACACAGGTGGTCAATCTGGTTCTGTTGTTCGATCAGGTAACACCCACATCACTTGATGGAGTCGCTTATGAGGAAAGATGCTTCCACAGATGACCAAGTTGTGTGATGCACACAGATCTGCAAATCTCTCCCCGTTGTCGTTGATGTCCCAAATGTCCGTGACTGCCCATGACCTCTTGCCATGACCTCGGCCCATGACCTCTTGTTAAAATCTCCCATCATGATAGTGAAGTCTCTACCTGGACAGCTCTCTACGATGGTCTGCAGTCTGCTGTAAAACTGGTCCTTGCTATCTTCGTCCCTCTCGTTTGTCGGGGCGTAGCACTGAATGACGTTCATGTTGATTTTCTTCTTCGTGGTCCTGAAGGTTGCTGTTATGATAATTTATGATCCTTGGGCCATGGGCTTCCCATCCAATCAGTGCTCTTTGTGTAGCCTTAGACAGCATCAGGCCACTTCCTGGGTATGTGGAGCGTCTTCCTCTTCATGACCTGAGTACAGCAGCAGTTCTCCTGTTGCGAGTCTCCTCTGACCGGATTCTAAAACTATTATACAATTCTTTAATTAAATCCATTTTGGAATATTGTTGCACAGTCTGGGAAAATTGTTCAAAAGGAAATCTTGATAGATTACTGAAATTGCAAAAACGTTGTGCAAGAATTATACTTGATGCCAATACAACTACAAATTCAGTTAATCTTTTCAATGGTTTAGAATGGCTACCAATTGACGATATTATTAAAACTAATAAACTTCTTATGCTCTATAAGATAAGTCGTGGCATTTGTCCACAATACTTTGAATCCTATTTCACCTATGTAAATACAGTTCATAAATATAGCACTAGATCAGCTAATAATAAATTAAATATTATTACACCAAAATGTAAAAATAATTCTGGCCTTAGAACTTTCCACTCGAGTGCATGTCGTCAGTGGAACAAGACAGACTTGTCAATTAAGAACATTGCCTCTTATGCAAATTTTAGAAAAGTAATACACTCTAGCTTTCAGGAACAATATTGTTCAATTGAACACTTCTGCATGGAAAAGACTTATTAGAAAATTTAGTATTTGTACAAAATTTGGTAGATTTATTTATTGCATAGCTTAGTGAGGGCCATCATGAAAACTACTGGGCAACCAGTAATGGTGTTTTTACCCTCAGTAAATAAAGTACTTTGCCTTTGACTTTGTCCATCCTGACTCGCTGATTCCTAAAATGGTCAAGTTGTATTTTCTCATCTCTGTTGCTACCTGTGCTGTCTTCCCTGTCTCATACATGGTCCTCACATTCCATGTTCCGATGTTGATCTTCCTGGTCGAAAGAAGGGTAATCGGCCTTGTAGCTTTCAGAGACTTCCAGTTTTCACCACCCGACGTCATAAATCTTCCAGATGAAGACCCATCTCCTTCCAGGCTTGAGGCATGTTGAAAATTTCTTATCGGCATTTTTGTGGCTTGAAGATTTTTTATAGGGCGGGGGTGCTGAACCCACGCCCAACCTTCCTTATTTTCTCATCCTGGGCTTAGGACTGGCAATGGCAGAGTTGATTGCCTAGCTGAGCACTATAACTCACGGATGCGTAAAATATTGACAGGGGGCATTATTAAAAAGGGAGACCTTTATAAATTAAAATATCCTTGTTAAGCACAAGACTTTCTGCTCCCGGGAATTTAAAATAGCTTCTAATAGCATAGAATAACTACACAAAAATGCATGGTCCAATTACAAATTAGTCATACTCCTACTGGGTTACGGCAAAAATGGTTCTACTGGCCACAGAGGAAAGAGTTTTTATCGTGTTAAATAGTATACGCAAACTCAAAGTACATGAATTGTGTTTACGCATCATGGGTTCAATATACAGTAGTATTCAGACAAAATTATAACAATAAAGTGAATTTCTAAAGTCTTTTGAGACGCTGTATATACGTACCGAATAGCTTTCTGTAGCGGCGCGAAAAAGACTTGAGCGAAACAACATTTCTCTGTTGCAATAATTGCTCCGAAAATAGCGTTCCTAAAAGGTATACGGATAGTCACGTCGCTACGGAAAGCTATCCCGTACAGTGTAAACTTTAGTCTGAGGTTGTGAATTGAGTAAAAACGATGTAAACAACGTTAGCAAAATTTGTCTGTTGCTGTGAAAATTAGTGATATTAGTGGATATTTGAAAGAAATATGACGCACTTTTCCGGATGCCTGCCAAATTTGAGGCTGTCACGAAGGTATTTTAATTTTACAATTTTACACATACACGATTTGTTCGATCGTGAAACATTGCATATAAAATTATCTGAAAATTGGACCGCCGGACTATTATTATTTTACCTTCCATGGTTCGATGTAAAATTTCCAAAACATCGAATCTTCGTATCTCAATTAGAATAGTTTCCAGTTGTCGGAGGGCGTTGTCACTAATTATGGTAACTTGATGAGGCTGTGGTAGATATTCACCCACAAGGCAATTTATCACAAACATAAGTTTTTGCAGCACGTCGTCGTCACTTATAGGCATTCTGTGATAAAGAAAAAGAGTAACATATCGAATGAGCGAAATTTGGCTTCCGGACGCCAATATATGCCCCCCTGTTTTGGACTACACCACTGATCCATATACAGGGACGCCGGAACGGGGGGCAGGAGGGGCAGCCGCCCCCGTTGCCCTTTACCAGGAGGGGCAAGGGGGGCAAAGGTGCCCTTTCAATTTAAAGAATTGCCATGGCGAAATAGCGAATTGTCAGAAATGTTAGTGCGATATTCTTTTACGAATTTGCTTCAGAAAACGCAAGAAATGCAGTCATCGAGCTTCAAGAATAGCACAATCAGCTGGCGGAGAACCCCCTCACACCCCTATCATCCAATAAATAGAAAACATGATTAGGCGAAGTTCAACTCTCGAAGTTTTGCAAACATCTCTTAGTATATATATCAATTCAAAAGTGCCCTTTCACAAAAATCTGCCCCCCTTGCCTTCACATCGTTCCGGCGTCCCTGTCCATATATAAAGAGCTAAGACCGAGACTCAAGGGAAGTCAGAAGTGGGTTTGTTGATTGGAATTCGAATCTGACCTTGAAATCCTCGCTGTTTGCCAAGCCCGGAGCTGGCTCTCAATTTCTGGGGGGGCACTCACTCCAGAAAGAATGTAACCAAACGGTTGAGATGGAAAAAATTTTTTTCCGGAATATTCTGGCGACCTCCCCCCCTCCCCCCCCTCCCCCCCCCGCCCGTCGCCAAAAAATTTTCGGTCAGTGTACCATTTTAGGGGTCAAAAAAATTTTTCGCACATAACAATTTTTCCAAACATACTCCATTTTTCCGAAATCACAAAATTTTCCACAAAATTTACAGAATTTTTTCCATTATTACAATTGCTTCCCAGGCCCTTTAGCTCAATTTTTCATACCCGATTTCCGAGTGGGGGGGCACTGGGGGGCACTGTCCCACCGAGTGGGGGGGCACTGCCCCCCAGGCCCCCCCCCCCAGCTCCGGGCCTGCTGTTTGCTCTAACTATAAACATCCAGTTTATCTGCCATGAGCAACGATCAACACGCGGGAATCGCTAAGTTACCAGTGCATGTATGCGCAGGAGATTAGGTTATTGCCGTTTGCAATCCATTATGATTTCAATTTTTCTATCATTAAATTAATTACTGACTTCACGACAGTTGAAAGCCCGGGGAGGTGCAATTTACCCAGAATATGCCCATTCGCAGGTTAGGTGCTCAAACGACCGTCCAGTCCATTCTTTCTCTTTTTAATCGCAATTTGTATCTCGCAACTTCACAACTCGCGGTTTAATTCGCAACGAATTTACGACAGGGACTTTTTTAAGAATTCGTCCTTGAGGGCGGGGGGGGGGGATATGTACAAAAAGGGATGGTTGTTGGTGACAAAAAGTTTAGTGTGGTGTCGTATGTAGTTGTCTGGGGTATTTTCCCCCAGAAAATGTTTGTATTTTCCATCACCCAAAACTGCATTTCGTGCGTTTTCTGAAACAGATTTTTGGATACAGCAAATTCAATTAAGGTTGTCCTCGAAGATAAAAGACAGGACACAAGATTCACAAAGAAAATTTCAAAGTTATACTAGAATATCAAACCCCCCTTCTAAATTATTTTTCTTCCAATCTTTTGCCTATATTTTACAGAAAAGGGACTTTGACTGGGGGGGGGGGAAATGGTTGAGTGGGGGCCAACATGAGAGCTGGCGGGGAGCCTTTGAGTTGCCCGCACCTGTCTAATAGAAGTCTATTTATAGCCATTGAATTCTACCCACGTAATCAAATTGGATATTGCATATTTTACTCTGCTATATTGTTCTATATTGGTATTTGCGGATTTTTGCTCTGGGTACGAGATGGTGAAGGCTATTTCAGATACGGTAGAGCACCTAGTCCCCAGGCCTTTACCAGCGCGACCGCGAAATTCAATATGGCGCCAAGCTAAGGAGTG